GGGAAATCGATACATGTCTACAACTAAAGGTAAAGTTAATTGAAATCCGAATTGCCTTTGATTCAAATTATTGGGCCTTTCGTTGTGTTATACACTGAAAAGTCAAGAAAAGCAGACTGTGATAAGCAAACGTACCAACACATACAACCAACTCCAAACTATAGCTAGTACAGAGAGAAAAAAGCAACAAAATATACCTCACGGTGTGTCTGTACGTTCTCCTGAAGTTTGTCTCTGATGTCGCTTCAATGATAAGAAGAGTGTACGTAACCCTAAAAAAGTGCATGTCCTTTGTAACTTTCGGTCTTGTAGTCTAAATATCTTTAGAAGGCAAAAATAATACACATTACTTACGATTCTACAAGACAGGAGAGCTATCCGAAAACAATGTGTACGCTGTCCTTGTTCTGATTACACAATAGGTAATTGGAAGCTATTGCAGGTTTTAAAGTCATTTTATCTGATTATAAGCTTACACATTAACCACAACAAATTAAGCGAACACAGCAGAGAGGAGAGGGAGCGGTGAATAGGTTAATTTTATTGATACTTTAGAAACAATCCACTAGATAAGGTGTAGTAACTTATTGCACCCTTCGTTCCGCAAAGGGATTTTCGAAATTGGATCAAAATTAAACTCTCTTGCATGAAGGACTTCAGTGGCTTTGTTTCAAGCCTTTTCAGGACATCTCGCCATCTAAAATGGATCCTCCAGGTACTCATATTTCCTTTGTGACTGTTATAACGTGGGACTCCCCTGGGGAGGATGATGTCATATTTTTGCACTTCTTTTCTCTGGGTAGCTTTGCCAAGAAAGAGCGGAAAAAGCGAGTTCAAACTTGCGGAAAAAGAAAAGATATCATCACAGGACCGGGTAAAATTTCCGCACAGCCCCATACTATTGTAAAACAAATCCGTTTTCCCAATGGAAATGTATTGTTTTTGTCATTGTTTTCTCTATCCAAGAACTGAATGCATAATGTAGTATGGGGCTGTGCGGAAATTTTACCCAGGACCGTCGATGAAATTAATTTCACAGCAACGCATCCTTACGTAGCTTAGCTAGACACATTTCTCCTCCTTGCGGTCCCCTCTCTCGCCCAATAGAATGTTTATAAGAATCCCTTTGTTCCATCTTGAAGTGCGTGCGGTTTCAAATTACGTTAAGCCATGCGCTGCTTCAAATAGTAGCTGTCGGTGGCGCGTTGTTGTTCACAATGGCGCGCGCTTCTTTGCTTGCTTGTCTTTTGTACTTCTTTGCTGGTTTTTCAGCTGAAGCAGTAAGGGAGACCTCGACTTCTTGTACTCGAAGTAGAAACCGGTCGCTGTTCGACTTTCGCACAAAATATCTGAACGGCACAGCAACCTTGCTACGCAAGTACGCTGGGAACGTCACCCTGGCGCTAAACGTAGCTACCTACTGAGGATTCGCTGCGCAGTACCCTCACTTAAATGCACTCATGAAAGAACTTAACCAAAAAAACTACCGGTGTGGTTTGAATATTTTGGCTTTTCCGTGTAATCAGTTCCTAAACCAAGAACCAGGAGCGAACGAGAAGGAGATTATGAACGGGTTGAAATGGGTCCGGCCTGGCAATGGATTTGTTCCGAATTTTCCACTTTTTCAGAAAATCCGAGTCAACGGCGCATGGGAAGACCCGATCTACACCTATTTAAAGGTAACTTCTGCTCTTTAATAAGTTTAACTCGAGGATTTCTAGATTTTAATATCTTTAGGGCTACCGTCCATATCAGTATGAGATTACGTAATAAATGTGACCTTACGTAATTATAGTCACGGGTAAGAGTAATTTATAGACCTTTCCACAGTTTTTATTCAGTGTAACGTAGGGCTGGAAAATAAACTAATAAGAGCTCCGCTTTTAGGCTTGGCTAAATCTATATATTAGACCTTTCCACTGATTTTCAGGGGCTTCTCTCTCCAAGCTTATACCCCATTCACACCTGCAAAACATGTTCAGTTAAACCAGGTTTAAATGAGTTAAAATCAGAAATAAACCTTGAAAAACTGAATTTTCCATGTTTTTAGTAGTCACTACCTTTTCATTTCATATGTGCTAGATTTGAAGTCGACAAACATTGGTATAAGCAGGCTCTATGAAGAAAACATTATTGAACTGTGTTTAACAATATAGCTTTAAAACCCGTTTATTCTTTGGCGTGAATGGGGCATAAGCCCATCTTAGCCTGCCTTTTTAAGTTGTTTCAATCTGATGTCATTTTACTTTTGGTCCTTAAGGCAGCTAAAACCGAACTATGTGTACAATTATGCGAACGCCTGCAATTACCCTTACCACCAAAATCAAGGGGTAAGTCTTCCAGGTTGTCGAAACTTCCATTCAGCCGAGGTCTTAGAGCAAAAAAAAAAATACTTGGGAACCCCGTCCGCGACTGGACTTAAGCCGCCAGCTCACCGCTGGACTGAATATTGAATTAACTCTTTGGGGTGAGGTTCTGAAATGGAAAGAATCGTGAAAGCCCAGTGCCCTGTGCACTTTCGCGCTCGGTTCTGTCCAAATTTAAATCGCCCCTATCTTCGGGACTGGCGGGAAGGGAACTTATTTAATCCGGAAGCTATCGTGTAGACTGAGAGCCTCCTTCAGTCACAAGGCGGGTCGTGTAACGGCAAGATACATCACCTAACTCTGATTTCGCAAATGTTCCCTTTAACCCTGAAGAAGTATGGAGAATATTTATTCACAACGAGAACGGGTATTTTCATAATATCAGTGCGCAAGACAGAGAGTGGAATTTCAATCTCGTCCATTAGCAGAACTAGTTAACTTAGTCTGGGGGTCTGTCACCAATGTTTTTTTTTTTTGCTTTTTATAATTATTGTTATTGTTACTATTTGACAAGCCAGGGCAAGCCGTAAAGCGAGCGCGTAAGATGAGTCTCACGTAAGAGGAGGGGCGCGGGAAAAAATGATATGTTAAAACTGGTTGTAACTTCTTCTTGTAGTCGCTCTGTCCCCTTCCAGGAGGAGTAATCAGTCGCTATGTAGCTGTTTCATGGACTCCGGTGAGAAGTGAGGACATCTCTTGGAACTTCGAGAAGTTCTTGGTCGATCATAATGGATTTCCTGTGAAGCGTTACCTTCCCAGTACAAAGCCTTTTGACTTGTTGGGTGATATCCGAAATCTTATGCAACGTTGTTAATTGGATTTCGATAGAAGAACGACTTTTTTTCTTTTTGCCTCACTTTTATTCTTTTCACTTCTTCTTAAGTAGTGTTCATAACTGCGAAGATCACTTTCATATTCACATTAATTTTATTCTATTACGAAGCTATATATACCGTCACGCACGTGTGAGAAGTTACACCAGCACGTGTTTCCGGTGGCAATGCGATTGGATGGTTAAGAAGGGGAAGGGCCGTAATCCCGTTTCACACATCACTTAGAGGCGAAACTTCAAATTTTCTTGTGTGCGAGCTTTCAGGGAAAACTTGACGTTTACTCGAAATGAAAGAAGAAACTTCACGGGTCGCGTATATTTCAGGATATACCAGTTCATAAATTCACAAATCACGTTGCCTTTCAAATTAAATTCACGTGTCACATGTTGATTTTGGTCTTAATCACGTGTCACGTATTAACCTTTTGACATCTTCCATTATCGAACGGCGTCTCTACATATAATTCTATTTCTTTAAATCCTTGTCATATTTATTTAGCATGAGCAGATTTTCTGTTTTGATTTTTCTGTATAATCAGGGGTGTCTGATAGCGCGCAACTGTTTCCTTTTTTTTTTTTTTTACGATTGTTTTCTCTAGTTTTGTCTTGTTTTCTCTTCTTACTTTTTTAATAATATATCCCTTCCTTAGTCACAAGGTAAGCGGTACTGATGTTATGTCTTGAACCGATACCTGCATTATGGCTCAGCTGTATGACGAACTATTTGTAAACTGTTTACTGCAGTGGAATAGTCCAGAGTTTCTGTTCTCTCTGTTCAGTGTTTGTGCATTAAGCTGTTACAGAATGAGAAACATTGTTTTGAGCTTAGTGTAATTTACTTTTAAAGGTATTACAATAAATCAGGAAGGAGATTGGAGTGATTCTTTATAATGCATTAAGTTACGGCGTTTTCAGCGGCCTGCTTTGCAAAAGCATTGGAAGGGGATGACATGAGCCGAAAAATCCCCCTTCCTTGTTGGCACTCAGTCCTTAGTAGCTGAGCTAACGATTATCCGCGTCTAAAACTCGCCCCACGGGTAAACAGTTTCTTCCTCGATTATCCACTCGTGAAACAGCGTGAATAGAGCTACAAAGCCCTTTGGACAATCGGACTCCAACAAATCATTCTCACTGCGAAGAACAAAGAATTAGCATGCATGTTTGTATTCATTGTCACGAGCCAAAAGGAAATTAGAGAACCCATATGGACTTTGCAGAAAAGGAATTTGAGTCGTGAGCAATTGTTCAGTGTTTCACTCAATAACTTGGCCTATATTACACAAGGGATTGCGCACAATTGCTTAAAAGTGAGGTGAGCAACCGAGGTCTCACTTAAGTGAAAGAGTGGGCTGTTTTCTCGAAGAGAGTATAAGGACTTAAATTTTTTAATGAATTATTTATAACGCTGAATTTATACATAATGAAGATTTATACCGCAAGAAAGAAACAAATTTTTTCAAGCCAAGGTTTAAACCTGAAAATTTTCCTTTGTTATGAAAAGTAAAAATTTATTCTATTTTTTGAGGATAATTTCTGTTTTTTCTTCTCTGCAACTTAATTTTGACGCAATAAAAGCTCTAATGATAGCTTCGTGAACTTGCTTAGAACTAAAGCTAGTCTTCCACGTTTTTGTTAAAGTGAATTACCTCAATTTTTTCAGATTTCCTTCATTTTGGTATTGCCGCCAAACGCCAATTTCACGCGCGGGGGCTTAGTTAGTTCCCAGGCTTGTCAGGAACTAAGTACAGATACGTCATATAGTCGTAATTGAAAAGCATTCCAGACAACTACGAGGACGGAAGTGAAAAGTGACAGAAAATAACAGTCTTTCGAAACCGAAATTGGCAATCAACTGTGGATGTTCTGTGATACTTATGGCAAACCGATGAGGGGAGATTAATTTTACAAGCCAAGAGTTATTTTAATGAAGTAATTTTTAGTTACATTTTGCGTAGGAGACGAGATTTTCCTAATGAATCATGCAAAGGTATCCTCTATTGCGATGTTGGCACGAAGTCAAACGTAGACAATGAATTCGTACAGTTTACTTCCCTTCTACTCGATATTATTTTCGTTGCTGTCCTCTACCTACGTTTCCTCGCTAGGAAATCATTCTCGAGGTAAGATGGAAGGTTCATTTTGATAAATACACTTCTTTGGGGTTCGTTGTGTGCTTTTAGTAACTAAACCAAGCACTCTGCATATATCAATTATTTAGTTTGCGTTATAATGGACGTTGCACCTTTGAAGTAAGTTTATGAAATGATTTGGTTTAAGGTTATCGGCATGGTGAACAGGTTTGAATTGTGTTCGAATTTTAAAAGGGTGACTTTATATTTAATTTATTAAGGTTCTCTCTGTAGTTATCACTGAATTCCTTTAACGCTTCGAATCATAGAAGGCATGTACACGGAATATATTGAATTTGTTTGCAGGAAGGAATGAAATCCCTTTTATTTCTTTGGTTGCTCGCCAATTTTCGTGGCCCTACAGTTTCTGTTTTGTTTGGTTTTGATTCTTTTTTCATATAAGCCAGTTCAACTCTTAGGATGAAATCAGTCATTTCCTTCCCTCTTGCATAATTGAGCTGCAATTTATTTTCTTTAAATTAATGAACAAAATCAACGTGGTTCAGATGCTATCTTTTAATGAGCCCGATACAATATCGGAACTGACTTACGCTGTGTGCGAAAATGTCGATGTCTAAATTAAGTACAGATTAACGGCGTGTGAACGCCAGTTAGTTTACTTTCTGACTGGGGGTGCATTTTGGAGTTGCTATACGGAGCAATCTAGGTATGGACGTAAGTAGCAAATTTTGAAAAAGCAATTTAAATCCGAAATTAGTTTCAACAGTCAACTTAAAATTTCTCCATTCTTTAAAACTCTTGCCAGGATATAGTTCTGAAATGTCAAAGAGAGGTGAAATACATGTCATCTGTTACTAAAACGTTTGGTACATCTTTGGTCTGCCTATTAAGTACATGTACTTACGTTATATATAGGAAAATCCTAATTTGCAACTACTTTCCACACACTAATATTGCCCAAATGATTTACAAATTATAGAATGTTTGCTCAAAACCTCATCAGTTGATTGCTGTAGACTTATGTTTAAATATTAAATGGTAATAAATTGACATGGTTTTCGACAAAACTAGTTTTGTTTAAATCACATATAGGCAATATTAGTGAGTCACCTTTAGTTAGTAAATGCAGATTTGGATTTAAAGAATTATATATGAGATGTTTACTTTAGTGAAAATAACAGTTACATTGCTTTTATTTCAGCTTCATTTGTCACAATTGAACCAGGGAGCCCTGACAATTCATACTTTGTCTTAAGGGGCTCTGTATTTCTGTTAAACTGCACTGTAAGATCTGGATTTGGACAAAGCCCTAATGTATCCTGGAAGCACAATGACAAATGGTTGTTTGATCGAGCGAAAAAAATTGATGATTCAACAGTTCAGTTGCAATTATTGAATGCAAGTGCCCATGATAATGGAATTTACTGGTGTGGTCCAGTATCTGGTGATAAATCCCAAGGAGTAAATATCTCAGTCACTGTGGCAGGTAATAGTCTGTTTTAATTTCACTTTGATATAATTTATACTTATTGAGAACTTTTTTTTGATATGATTTCAGTGCAGTTTATTGTAAGAATTATATATGGTCACTGTGTAAATACCAGAACTCCTCCAAATCTCAAAGAAAGACAAAACTAAACATTGAATTTAAAGCCACATACATACATGGATAAATTACAAAGGAAGAATGTTTTAAAAAAAGCAGTAAATGGTTTGAACCCAGAGGTAACTGTTGATAAAGTATTCTGATCGTCTGAGTGAGAGTAATCTTGAAAAGGATCAATGTAATTAGCAATGGCAGACATTCCAACAAACTGAGATAAAGTAATAATTAGATCAGTTGAGTTCTTAAAATCAAAGTTTACCTCACAAGTGCTGGGTACTCACTGAACAGTGTTTGGTGAATTTTTTTTTTTTTGGTTATTTTGTTTAAAATTTATTGAGACATTTAAGTTTGTAATAAGACACACTGTGTATCAAAAACACATTAAATACCTAATATTCCCTGGACTTTTATAAGCAAACTAGAAATCTTTTAGGCTTCAATTTAAATGTACAAAAGGCTTTATTGCATTTAACTTCTTCAATTACCTCATGATTCTCCTTTTCAATTAGCTTTTATATTATAAAGTGTGATACTTTATCCCTTTGTCCCTAAAGTGATTAGAAACCAAGTTCTCCTCACAGTAACACCCTGAATCGAGCAATCACCAATTAAAGAAGCTTGTGATTGTTAAACAAATTCTCCTCATCAGCGCAATAGATATATAGAGAACAGTAATATGCATATGATGGTATAAATTAGTTATTTAAAGCCAATTTCCGTGGAGACTCACACAGTCATATAAACTATTCTGACTTTTGCTTTCCAGATCCACCAAGTTCCCCACGGAATTTAAACCTCAAAATCTATGGTTTTTATCCATTTACAGATGTCTGGATACTGTGGTCATCTTCCAGCTATACTGGTGGTTTACCTGTGAACTACTCCATCAAATTGTGCAATGACAAACCTGACAACTCATGTCAGAAAACTGCCTGCAGGTTGATCAACATAAAAGAATGCCAGCCTGTAAACATTCTCAGCACTACAATGAATTTCAAGTGTATTCTGAAAACTTTCTTAGATGCCTGTGACTATAATATTTCTGTTATGGCCACAAATGCTGTTGGAAGTGCACAAAGTCTAATTTACCTGCCATTTATCTCTATAAGTTCAGGTATTTTTTTCAAAGTGCCTCTTCATTAATTTAGGATAATTTTAGTATTGCTAATAATATCACAATCCCCATAATGATTTCAGTCATTAAACCTTCAACTCCTAGAATCTGATTGTTAATTGTCTCATCCAGCTCAGTGTTACACATTTCCTGGTGAATTAGTTACAAGAATTTGGTGTTAGATCAAGATGACAGCTTCTGCCTGATAATTTTGAGTAATCTCATTACCTGTTTGCTGGATTAAATATTTTGATAATTTAACAAGACGTTACATGTTATTGTCACTGCTGGAAAATTAAAAGGTTAATGTTTGTCTTTCAGTTACACCCAAGCCTCCTGAAAATTTGAGTGTTGAGCGCACAGATAAAGAGGGTGAATTACGTGTGCGTTGGAAAGCCAGACTATCTTGGGATCTAGCTGACCAAAATTATACAGTGCTCTATCATGCCAAAGGGGAGATTAAAAATAGGGTATGTTTAGGTAAACATTTTCTAACTAATTTTTCACACATCACCCATTGTAAATGAAATGTTACTGACTAAGAGAACTGTCCTCAAAGCTTTAATAAAATTAAATGAACAAATCCAATTTACATGTCAAGATAAAAAACTGCATCAGTAATTTGTGAAGAAAGAGAGGGGGGAGGAGAGGAGTGGGAGAAGTTATAGCTCAAGACAGGTGAATGAAAATTGGCAGAAAGAGTGGGAGAATGGAAATTGGCAGAAAGAGTGGGAGAATGAAAATTGGCAGAAAGAGTGGGAGAATGAAAATTGGCAGAAAGAGTGGGAGAATGGAAATTGGCAGAAAGAGTGGGAGAATGGAAATTGGAAGAGTGGGAGAATGAAAATTGGCAGAAAGAGTGGGAGAATGAAAATTGGCAGAAAGAGTGGGAGAATGGAATTGGCAGAAAGAGTGGGAGAATGGAAATTGGCAGAGAGAGTGGGAGAATGGAAATTGGCAGAAATAGTGGGGGAATGGAAATTGGCAGAAAGAGTGGGAGACTGGAACAAAAACTTGTGGTTTCCTGGTCTGAGAAACCTAATGTCAGTAGCATAAAAAATGATTTAAAAATTGTTTGTTATGTATTGATTTATTTTTCATTTTTGAAAATGGCTATTCACTGTTTTTATTGTATGCACAAGTCAAACTATTTATTCATTCACGTGGACATTTTATTTCTTTAATCATCAGGGCCAATTTTATCATGATTACTAAATTAGTTAATGTCATTATTATTAAATTAAGAGAATATCAAAAGTAGTTTTTAAAATTAGTATTAATACACGTACTTTTTAAATGTTTGTTTCATTTCAGACAAGCACTACATCCAATAAAGAATTTACACTGCTCACTGGACTGAAAGACTTTACAGAGTATTGTGTTTATGTCGTGTTCAGATTAGATGAATCAGCCTGGAGTGAAGCCATCGGGCCAAAAATTGTCAGGACAAAAGCAGGCTGTATGTCTTTTTAATAGTTGTTGCCCTTGTATCTATGTAGTCCAGGCCATAATTTCTCATTTCTTCTACAACCCACACTTGGTTACAGAAATGTTCCCTGTTATTTGCAAACTGTTGAGTCACCTTGCACATTGTCTAAATATGAATCATTTTCATGGGTGTATTTGCAATGGCATCCAATATGAGTAAGCAATTCTTGTTTTTCTTGAGAGTATAAAGTGCCATGTCTCTTTAACCTTTTAAGTGCCATGTACCTATCATTATGCTCATTCACTAATATTGCCCAAATGATTTACAAATTGTAGAATGTTTGCTCAAAACCTCATCAGTTGATTGCTGTAGACTTATTTTTAAATATTAAATGGTAATAAATTGACATGGTTTTCGACAAAACTAGTTTTGTTTAAATCACATATAGGCAATATTAGTGAGTCACCTTTAGTTAGTAAATGCAGATTTGGATTTAAAGAATTATATATGAGATGTTTACTTATACTTTTTTGGCTTTGGCAAGTGAAATCTCCCAGAACCTTATCATTATAAATTTAGTGAAAATAACAATTACATTGCTTTTATTTCAGCTTCATTTGTCACAATTGAACCAGGGAGCCCTGACAATTCATACTTTGTCTTAAGGGGCTCTGTATTTCTGTTAAACTGCACTGTAAGATCTGGATTTGGACAAACCCCTAATGTATCCTGGAAGCACAATGACAAATGGTTGTTTGATCGAGCGAAAAAAATTGATGATTCAACAGTTCAGTTGCAATTATTGAATGCAAGTGCCCATGATAATGGAATTTACTGGTGTGGTCCAGTATCTGGTGATAAATCCCAAGGAGTAAATATCTCAGTCACTGTGGCAGGTAATAATCTGTTTTAATTTCACTTTGATATAATTTATACTTATTGAGAACTTTTTTTTGATATGATTTCAGTGCAGTTTATTGTAAGAATTATGGTCACTGTGTAAATACCAGAACTCCTCCAAATCTCAAAGAAAGACAAAACTAAACATTGAATTTAAAGCCACATACATACATGGATAAATTACAAAGGAAGAATGTTTTAAAAAAAGCAGTAAATGGTTTGAACCCAGAGGTAACTGTTGATAAAGTATTCTGATCGTCTGAGTGAGAGTAATCTTGAAAAGGATCAATGTAATTAGCAATGGCAGACATTCCAACAAACTGAGATAAAGTAATCATTAGATCAGTTGAGTTCTTAAAATCAAAGTTTACCTCACAAGTGCTGGGTACTCACTGAACAGTGTTAGGTGAATTTTTTTTTTTTGGTTATTTTGTTTAAAATTTATTGAGACATTTAAGTTTGTAATAAGACACACTGTGTATCAAAAACACATTAAATACCTAATATTCCCTGGACTTTTATAAGCAAACTAGAAATCTTGTAGGCTTCAATTTAAATGTACAAAAGGCTTTATTGCATTTAACTTCTTCAATTACCTCATGATTCTCCTTTTCAATTAGCTTTTATATTATAAAGTGTGATACTTTATTCCTTTGTCCCTAAAGTGATTAGAAACCAAGTTCTCCTCACAGTAACACCCTGAATCAAGCAATCACCAATTAAAGAAGCTTGTGATTGTTAAACAAATTCTCCTCATCAGCGCAATAGATATATAGAGAACAGTAATATGCATATGATGGTATAAATTAGTTATTTAAAGCCAATTTCCATGGAGACTCACACAGTCATATAAACTATTCTGACTTTTGCTTTCCAGATCCACCAAGTTCCCCACGGAATTTAAACCTCAAAATCTATGGTGTTTATCCATTTACAGATGTCTGGATACTGTGGTCATCTTCCAGCTATACTGGTGGTTTACCTGTGAACTACTCCATCAAATTGTGCAATGACAAACCTGACAACTCATGTCAGAAAACTGCATGGTTGATCAACATAAATGAATGCCAGCCTGTAAACATTTTCAGCACTACAATGAATTTCAAGTGCATTCTGAAAACTTTCTTAGATGCCTGTGACTATAATATTTCTGTTATGGCCACAAATGCTGTTGGAAGTGCACAAAGTCTAATTTACCTGCCATATATCCTTTTTAGTTCAGGTATTTTTTTCAAAGTGCTTCTTCATTAATTTAGGATAATTTTAGTATTGCTAATAATATCACAATCCCCATAATGATTTCAGTCATTAAACCTTCAACTCCTAGAATCTGATTGTTAATTGTCTCATCCAGCTCAGTGTTACACATTTCCGGGTGAATTATTTACAAGAATTTGGTGTTAGATCAAGATGACAGCTTAATTCTGCCTGATAATTTTGAGTAATCTCATTACCTGTTTGCTGGATTAAATATTTTGATAATTTAACAAGACGTTACATGTTATTGTCACTGCTGGAAAATTAAAAGGTTAATGTTTGTCTTTCAGTTACACCCAAGCCTCCTGAAAATTTTAGTGTTGAGCGCACAGATAAAGAGGGTGAATTACGTGTGCGTTGGAAAGCCAGAGGATCTTGGAATCTAGCCGACCAAAATTATACAGTGCTCTATCATGCCAAAGGGGAGATTAAAAATAGGGTATGTTTAGGTAAACATTTTCTAACTAATTTTTCACACATCACCCATTGTAAATGAAATGTTACTGACTAAGAGAACTGTCCTCAAAGCTTTAATAAAATTAAATGAACAAATCCAATTTACATGTCAAGATAAAAAACTGCATCAGTAATTTGTGAAGAAAGAGAGGGGGGAGGAGAGGAGTGGGAGAAGTTATAGCTCAAGACAGGTGAATGAAAATTGGCAGAAAGAGTGGGAGAATGGAAATTGGCAGAAAGAGTGGGAGAATGGAATTTGGCAGAAAGAGTGGGAGAATGAAAATTGGCAGAAAGTGGGAGAATGAAAATTGGCAGAAAGAGTGGGAGAATGGAAATTGGCAGAAAGAGTGGGAGAATGGAAATTGGCAGAAAGAGTGGGAGAATGAAAATTGGCAGAAAGAGTGGGAGAATGGAAATTGGCAGAAGAATGGAGTGGGAGAATGAAAATTGGCAGAAAGAGAGAATGAAAATTGGCAGAAAGAGTAGGAGAATGAAAATTGGCAGAAAGAGTGGGAGAATGGAAATTGGCAGAAAGAGTGGGAGAATGAAAATTGGCAGAAAGAGTGGGAGAATGGAAATTGGCAGAAAGAGTGGGAGAATGAAAATTGGCAGAAAGAGTAGGAGAATGGAAATTGGCAGAAAGAGTGGGAGACTGGAACAAAAAACAAAAACTGGTCTGAGAAACCTATGTCAGTAGCATAAAAAATGATTTAAAAATTGTTTTTTATGTATTGATTTATTTTTCATGTTTCAAAATGGCTATTCACTGTTTTTATTGTATGCACAAGTCAAACTATTTATTCATTCAGGTGGACATTTATTTCTTTAATCATCAGGGCCAATTTTATCATGATTACTAAATTAGTTAATGTCATTATTATTAAATTAAGAGAATATCAAAAGTAATTTTTTAAATTAGTATTAATACACGAACTTTTTAAATGTTTGTTTCATTTCAGACAAGCACTACATCCAATAAAGAATTTACACTGCTCACTGGACTGAAAGACTTTACAGAGTATTATGTTTATGTTGTGGTCAGATTAGATGAATCAGCCTGGAGTGAAGCCATCGGGCCAAAAATTGTCAGGACAAAAGCAGGCTGTATGTCTTTTTAATAGTTGTTGCCCTTGTATCTATGTAGTCCAGGCCATAATTTCTCATTTCTTCTTCAACCCACACTTGGTTACAGAAATGTTCCCTGTTATTTGCAAACTGTTGAGTCACCTTGCACATTGTCTAAATATGAATCATTTTCATGGGTGTATTTGCAATGGCATCCAATATGAGTAAGCAATTCTTGTTTTTCTTGAGAGTATAAAGTGCCATGTCTCTTTAACCTTTTAAGTGCCATGTACCTATCATTATGCTCATTTTTCTCTTTTGCCATTGGTCACTCTGACTCTTCTTTTCTAAGGACTTCCTTATCACCTTCTCCCTCTTGTCTTCCACCTTCTTGCACACATTGCCTCTTTGTTTCTTTTCTCATCAGCCTAATTGTCTCGTGGGACCTGTTTCTCTAGAACAAGTTCTGGCACCCTAACCAGTCTATTTTGTTTCTTTAGCTGATAGTTTTGTTTGTATAGTTTTCAAAACTTTTGAAACTCCCATCTGGAATGAAAACAGAACAGCCATAGGGGCCATAAAGTACAGGGACCTTCGAGAAACAGGCCCCTGGCAGGTCACTTCCCTAAACTATACCCCATTTACTGACCTTTTCTTGATCTTGCCTCCTTTCCCTTCACTCTAATTCCATCCTTTCCTTTTACAATCTATTTCTCTCTCTTTTCCTTAACTTCACTTTAACTCTCCTCCCTTCATCCTTTGCTCCAATCTTTTTCTGTCTTGATTAACCCTCTCTCCAATCTCACAATCCTTTACCATATTCTTCCATTCCCTCCACCCCTCTACAGCTGTAGATGACATCAATCATTTTGATTACAGATCCAGTCAATCTACCAAAGGTGATAAGAGATTATTCGATATCCTTTCCGGGCAATTCTGGTCTCAGGAATGTATCAGTGGAATGGGAGGTGGGTTTTAAACCTTAATTCTTGATACCTAAAATTTCTTTTTAGAACACATGTCTGAGTGTGTACACTTCAAACTGGACTTTTTTCAATTTGAAAATGGTTCATCATTGAGTCTGCTATACTTCAATTTAAAAATCATTCAGGCACAAAACTTGTGGTCTAAGGCTAAATAATCGTGGTAAACTCATAGTTTACAGGCTTTATATTTTTCTCTAATGATTGAGATAATCTGAGTGATTTTTTTCTTTCGGGAAAGGCTTTTCTGAAAAAAAATTCAATATATTGTCTGAAGTAAAGCAAGATTTCATGGGTTTTGTGTTATCTATCCACTGTGATTAGTCCAGAAAAATCATGCCATTTTCTTTACTATTCAGATGCAAAACTATAAACCAATGGTGCCTTGGCTACACTCATTTCCAAGGCTTTTAAC